ATATCTGCATGTTTATGTGTGTGTGTGTGTGGGGGGGGGGGATTGTCTTGACTTATTTCCAAGTTCTGGTTCTCCTTCTTTTACTCTCCCTTCTCCCTTTTTCACATGTTTTTATGACTCATTTTATTTATTTGGTATAAGGTAGTCCCTCGTTTATTGCGGGAGTTCGGTTCAGAACCTCATTAAGTGAAATTCTGCAAAGTATCAACGTTATGTTTTTTGTAGCATTTATTGTAAGGCTTTAGAAACCCTTACCACACTCTTGCAATGTTCTTAACAATGTTCTAAACTCCAACATTTTTCAGTCAGGTCATCTGGACAGTTTCTTTTTTTGTGCTGAAACGTTTCGCCTTCGATCCGAAAGGCTTCGTCAGTCAAGGAAACACACAACAAAAATGTTCTAAACTCTTCAGCCTACATCTTTTTAACAACATACATATATGTACTGCACAGTCGCTACTGCAAAATTTTATATTGGGACCCACCAGCCTTGGTCCGGTTCTGGTCTGATTCTGACCGGCTCTCTGCATCTGTTGAGCACCAAGTGCACTGTTGCCTTGGGGGTAATGTAGTTCTTGTACTGGATTGGCAATACAGTGTAGAATTATTGAAAGAAAACTACAAAATGGTGACGCCTGTCCAAATTATATATATATTTTTTGTCATTAACTTTTTCCTAACCGCGTGAGTACCGTAATATTACTGTAAAGTCGACAATCGTGTGCCGTGTACTTTTTTTGTAAAACATTATGGACTGTACGTCAATAAACCGCAATAGAGTGAATCCACAAAAGTTGAACCATGAAGTAGTGAGGAACTACTGTACTTTATAAATTCTACTCATTTTTTTTTTTACTGCAGGTACTGAAGGAAGTAATACACCGATACAACAAAAAGTGTGGCTTTTTTTAAATATATCACACATTAAAAGCTCCATTTCTTCCAGTTTTGTCTCAAGAGAAGGATCTACTCCCCTGAGGCAACTACAACAGTACAATTATATTTTGATCAATTATGTTAGTACGAACAATCTGCCAATAAAGTTCACTTTCAGCACTTGTAGTAACAAACAGCACACACACTGGCTACATGTTGTGTGTATCTCAGAGTTGTATAGCTGGACGTCTTCTGGCATTTCAGTCTGTTACTGATTCATTCATTCATCAGTGAACCTCAAGGTGGTGATTTTCTCTGCACAACACCAAGCTAAAATATGATAATTGTTGTATTAATTTCAAATAGGCTACAAGGTACTTTTTTACCGTAGTTTCAGGATTAACTGAGTAAATCACCAACATTAAAAGTACAACATTGCCTGCTATAACTATGAGTTTTATTTAGTTTTGCCAGTTGTTTGGAGCTAGCCTGAAATTACACCATTCTCTAATGTTAAATGAACTCTCTCACAAATATGTTTATTGGCCATTGAGATATAAGAAAATTGTGGCATAACTGCTAGTCCAAGATCGAACAAATACTTAACATGCAGTACCACACAACGCTAAAACAGTAAAGTCGTGTCACAATATTTCAGCAATGCAGCATTAAATATCTAATAATGACAGAAATACTCATTTATTTCAATACTGTATATAAAATATACATATTTCCTGTGCCAACAATTGAATCACAGTCTCAAAATTAAAGAAAAATATGTACCATCTGTTGTAATGAAATATTTTTAATACAATTTTATCATAATACATGTAAACGGTTAGTAATTAGCACCTGCCGTCTTGGAAGGCAGGTAATGATGTCATCACCTGTGTTTGCAAAATATCCCATGAACCACTGAACAAACTCGTTAACATTCATATTCAACAATTTCTGGGCTCAACCCAGTTCAAGATGGTCACCACAGTTAATCAACTCCTCACCTACACAAATGGTTTTATCTTTTTTTTTACTGATTCTGAGACAAAGTTTAGCATAATACTAATGTCCACAACACTCTGAACAGATTGCACAGAATATTTATTTAAAACTTTAGCACAAAAGACTATGAGTTTTTTAGAACATAGGAATAGATGAAGACACTGTTCTAACATCGTATAACTCATGTATTGTTGATGATTTAAAAAACAGATTTTTGTTTTTTTGCTTTGGTTTTGCTCAACTTATTAATATAGCCTGCTTAATTTATTACATCAGTTTATAACATTGTTTATTTTCCAAAACACTTCCATATTCAACCATTACAGTTTTACAAATCCACCATGTTCCTTGTGCTCCATGTGCAGAAGGTGAAATTTGACCCACACGTTTTATTTAGCACAATACTCAATTAATACCTCTGACTTTCTGCTTGTACCTCTTTACATACTACACACTTGCAGGTACACACATGAGCAAAACAAACACAAACACACGCCCCATTCTTCTTTCAAAAACGAAGCTAATTTAAGGAGCTTGTTGTGTTTTAAAAGGTGATTTCACATTGATGTTGGCCACAATGAGAGCACACAGCTGCTGTGTTCGACTGTTTTTCTCAGTCAGAGCATTGTTCTCTTAAACAGCTGTCGTTGGGCTGATGCAGAACAGATGGCATGTACATGTGGGTCTGCTCAGCTGCACGTATGTGCAGACAGCAAATGTCTCTCTGACACAGGAGTGGAGAGAGAGGGAAAGACAGACAGAGACAAGGAGAGATGAAGAAGCTCTGAAAGAGGGTCGAACATGAAGGCACCTTATTTTGTGCGTGTGTGCTTATTGTTTCTGCCAGTGTCGGAATAAGTAGCAAAAATGTTAGTTTTTTGTATTAAAATGTCACCTACTCAGAAGAAAAAGAAAACATATTCCAGTATGTACTGTTATGTGTCATGTGACCCTGTAATTTACGTATTTATTTATTTTAACTGAAGATAAAAGCATGTTTGACATCTTTCACATGAATCATATTTTTGTGAGACAGAGCGCTGGAACATATTGAATGCTCAACAGAGAAACCCGAATGCTTGCCTGAAGGCAAAGAGTTGTTACACTGCAGCACTTACAGTACAGCCACTGTGTGTGAGTGTGCGCATGTGTACGGGATGTGTGAGGGGCTCTGGGATATCAGTGTCTCTATGCATCTGTTTATCCCACAGCAGTGTTGTATCATCGCCGATGGCAACAAAGAGCCTGTCGATGACAAAGGCTCCTCTCTGTTTTGCTGCTCGTGCAGCACCAGCACATGCAGAAATTCACACACATACAAACCAGTTGCAGAGCTCAGTGTGAGATGGAAGTTGGCAACAGCTGAGGTGTGTAGTATGGTGGCACTGGCAGGTAGAGCCCACAATTTACTCTTAGTTTTCATAAAACCAAAGGCAGTACATGGACTGTTATTTCCAGTATTAAACATATATATGTTTTTCTTTCTGTTATTAAGTTACTTTTCTTTATTCTTTAAAAGTGACAGATTTCACAGCTTGCCAGTTTAGATGAATGACGGTTTGTAACAGGAAGGACTGTTGTTGAAAAATCCTTAAATATTTACATGTTTACATATGTATCTATAATATAATACTAATATATATATATATATATATATATATATATATATATATATATATAT